TTGGCCTTAGGAAAATATCTGCACTCTTTCTACATTATTATTATTTATAACTTTATCAAGTAGAGTGCCATTATTCTGCCTCTCACATTATTTTACAAGCAAAAAGCTAAATCCCAGTGTGTTCAAAAGCTTAATATTGTAGTCATTATTGGGAAATTCTTTTTTTTTTTTTTATTATTTGAAATGGCTGGGAAGAGGATGATCTGATTATTTCAGTGACCTGGTTAGTAAATGGGTGAGTTTTAGACCATTGATTTTCAGAGTATTTGAATTCAAATAGTCTGTCTTGATTAATAGTAAAAGTAGACTGAATATCTTTTAATGATTGAGAAAGTGTTTCATGAATTTATTGTGTGTTAATTCACTCAGCAAATATTTATGAAGCCTGCCAGGTGACAGTCACGGTTCTGTATGCTGGGGCTGCAGGTGGTGGTGACTTAAGCTGGCATGGTCTTTGCCCTCATCGGGGCTGTTAATCTGACCATCATTCTGTCTAGGAATGCCATGGATTTAAGAAGTCCAAGAGAATAGGATGAGTAAATATTTAACTATGTAGTCTCTTTGCAAAAATAAACTCTTGATTTTTATCCTCTTAATTCATTATTTTCATCTTTTTCCATAAATACCGAGTACTCGAAATGTTCCATTTATTGGAGCTTTCTGGTTTATTTGGAATTAAAGGCACTGGTAATCTTTTGACTGCATCACCCTACTTTTAAACAAAGGGAATATTAAATTAGAAGCCAGAATGAACTGTTTTTCAAACCAGTGTTAAAAATGAACATAATTAGAATAATCCTTCTCATGTGACACATCGTCTCGTGGGGGAAGTATAATTTGTAACCATGTAACATTGATGTTGCCAGCAGCATCTTTTTGTAACCCAATTGCTTATGTGGATTTGAATTGCTATACTACTATGTTTAACAGTAATAATTTTTTAATATTATCCTCTGCCCAATCTGAATGAGCTACCTTCCCAGATCTAATTGGGATCTTCACTGATTAGAGAGGGTCATTCTGATTCAGCATCTGCAGGGGTGTCCACTAGCTTCTGATGTTATTAATATTAGCTTTCCATTTTTCTCTTTATTTGGGGGGAGCTTTTGCATAAGTATTCATGGAAGTTTTTATTTTTAAATAAAGTGTGAAGCAGATAAGATTGCTTGAACCCAGTGCATAGAGTTTCAGCAGCTGCAGGAAATCTCTGGATGTAGCAGGTGGATGCTGACTGGTGGCTGAGGTGCATAGTAGCCTTCCTGTGTTCCCTCTGGGCCAGCCTGCTGCAGGAGGACATTGGGTTCAGAGTCCCTGCCCTCCTACCTGTTAACAAGTCACCTTCCCTCTTTGGCAAGGGGATACAACCTACTCTGACCCCTGATCTGAATATTAAACGATGTATTGGACTTCAGAGTGCTTTATAAGCAAAAATTATATAGGCAGGGTAGTTTTCTTCCCCCCTGCCTCCCCCCTTTTTTTGGTGTAGGAATAATGAAAGAGTATATCCCCTGGAACACAGCATCCTATGGAAGCTTCAGAGAGGGCATCGTACCTTCTCCAAGAAGCCTCTTCATCCTGTCTCTGGGAACGGTCAGAGTGGCAGTGGTATTTCTGAGGTTGTCTCCCTCTGGTATCAGCATCATAAATCATCATTTTTGAGCCCATTAATCTGGCTGTTTTTTAATAAAGGAGAAATCTTGGATCCCACTATTTTCAGCCTATTATTGTACTCGGTGTATTTCATGGATTTGTAGAACATGTAAGTGTATCTGTGTGAACCTGCCTTACACAAGTCTTAAGGTCTTCATGTTATTTTAACACTTTGGAATAACAGCAAATCTTTGGTTCACCTTGAAATGTAGGATTTTTATAAATGGTCTCGGTATGTGTGAATAATTCTAGAGTTTACAATATGTTTTAGACATGGAGAATAGAAGTATTTAAATAGAAGTATTCATCTCTGGGGTGGGTCTTAAACTAATCGATTTTTACGCCAAAACTCTTCTACTCAAGAACTAGCTTGTGAGCTTTGGTATACTAAAAATAATTCCTAAAACTTCAGAGACCATGTATGTCACAAGTACATGGTATTGGTGGCCACGGTGGTCACTTTAGTGTCCAGCAACATGACTCCCTTCCATTTACACTCTCTGTTTAGTTCTGGGTGGTGGTTAGAATATCCATAACCCCATCACATCTGATAAGCACAAAAGCAGTGAGCATGTCGGAAGTACTAGTAAGAAAAGGTGTACCATGGTGAGAGGGACAAAATTAAGATAATTTTAAGCAAACCATGTTCATGTGTACATGAGATGAATTATTCAGTTGAAGGAATAATTCCGAGGAAGACAATAACTCATGAGCTACGTTTAAAGCTTCGTTCCTATGCAGGTGATGGTAATTGGTAAGAGCTTGGGGGAAGATGCTTGAAAACATGGACAGCACTTTTGAACATATGAGTTGGCAGATCACTGTCAGATGCCTGTTAGCCTGATGCTAACTCAGAAAACAACTAAGAGTTTGTTTAAAAACTCAGAGACTAAGCATGCTAAAGGTGTTTCTGACAAAATCTTGGTCCAAGACTCTAGTTTCATTGGTCCAGGTCCTTCTGATTCTGGGAGTGGGAGTGCAGCCAGCATGTTTGAAGTATTTTCTACAATACTTGAGGGGAGGTTTCAAGGGGAGGATGGTTACTTGCCTAATTTTCAACATCCAAGAAACTGATGCTTTTGCAAAATGATGCCCAACAGATCTTGTGTTATCAAGGGGAGAGAGCGTGAGCTTATTTTTTAAAGCTCACGTTCCTTATGGTACAAATGCATCCAGAGACTTTCAAAGTCATGTAGTATTTTTGAATAGATAGACTTATACGAAACTTGTTGGGATAGTTCTACTCTGTTCAGAAATGGAGGAACTGGTTACTGTATTCTTCTATTTTAGATTCAGAGCAGCTAAGTATCCTTTTATAATATTAAAATGAGGGAAAAAAAGCAAAAGAAAAAACTGCAAAGTTATGCAGTTAAATGCCGGGAGACCAAGGCATTTCTCTGGTCTGGGTTTAAACAGGGTATGCTGAGATGAAGCAAGGACAGAATTAAATTAGGGGTAATTTGATGTCTAGAAGTGATCCAAGGGCCCCGGGGCCAAATGGGAGCAAGATACACCAAACCAGCAGCTCCTGGCTCTTGGGTGATAATTCATTTCTAAGCCCTAGCCAGTGGGGACACTGAGGCTCACATGCCTGCAGCTCGGGCAGTGCTGGCTCAAGAACACAGTGAGTGGCGATTGTGAAACCTGTAGGATTCATTAGTTTGCTAAGTAAAAAGCATAAGAAATCTGTTGACCTGCATTTCATTTTTGTATCACTGCAATGTCTATGCAGTAGAAAAAGCATCCGCTGTGGCATGAGCTGGCTCTGTGATCCTGAGCAAGCTCCATGACTCCTCTGAGACTCCATTTCTTCATGGGAAAATAGGTGTTACGTTGCCCATCCATCAGAGACGTCGTGTAGGATAAAAATAATACTTAGTCATTAACACAGTGCCTGGGCTAACATGCCTTCAGCGATCTGTAGCCATTAGTGGAATTAGCATTAATTTCACTACATGTGATGAGTGAAAAATTCTTAGCAGAGAGCTTGAAACTTGCCACCAGCAACTCTTGTGGCCAGTTTTATCAGTTAAGGCAAACTAAACATTTGAAACAAATAGACCCAAAATGCAATGGCCAGAACACAATAGAAATTAATTTTCTCTCTTATAACAATCCAGGGTAAGCGTGCTGGTTCAGGAAGGCTCAGCTCCACACGGTCATTCAGGCTTTAGGTGGCTCTGCTGTCTTTAATAGTTGCACGGATACTGTCACCATTCCTGCCCTAAGAAATGAGGAAGTAGCTGGAAGGAGGTTTTAAGGGCTTGAGTGGAACTGGCGAATGCCAGTTATCACCTGTATCATGCTGAGATAACTGCGAGAGCAGCTGGGAAAAGCTTGCAGTATGGTTGGGTAGCCACATGCCAGCAACTGTGGAAAAAAGGTGTGATTGAGAAAGCCGGCAGCCTCTGCTATGCTGGCTTGTTGCGTGGCATAGCTAACAACCCGACAGCACTCTCTGTGCTCCTCACTGAATGTTGGCACTGATCTTTTGCTGAAAATTTGCTGACAATTTCTGATCTATGCCAAAATCCAGCATCGAGTCTTCAGGTACAAGGCATATAAGTCGTGGTAATGTGGGTGGCTCTATCTGGCTGTCCAGGACACTTGGCTACCCCATGCTGGGACTTGGCTCAGGCTGTGCACTCGGGACGGGGTGATGTGGGCCTGTGTCTTAGGAGGCACCCGATTTGATTTGCCAGCTCAGTTACAAAGCCAGAGAGCTTGGCATGCGGCAGGCGGGAATGCCACCAGGGAATCTAGGCCATGGATCCAGGAACCCCACTGGGGGAGTCGCCTCCTGGGAAATCCATCTAGCACAGGAGAAACTAGAGGCTGGGTAACAAGAGCAGGGGAAGGGAGGAGTGTGACCCAGGCAGAGAGAGTAGGCAGGCCTCCCGGGAACTGAGTCGCGTCTCCATCCCTAGAGGGGGAGCAAGGCTGTGCAGTTAAATGCCAGGAGACCAGGGCGTTTCTCTGGTCTGGGTTTAAACAGGGTATGCTGAGATCAAGCAAGGACAGAATTAAATTAGGGGTAATTTGATGTCTAGAAGTGATCCAAGGGCCCCGGGGCCAAATAGGAGCAAGATACACCAAACCAGCAGCTCCTGGCTCTTGGGTGATAATTCATTTCTAAGCCCTAGCCAGTGGGGACACTGAGGCTCACATGCCTGCAGCTCCGGCAGTGCTGGCTCAAGAACACAGGTGCCGGTGGGAAACTGGGGTGAATCCAGCTGCGGGGGTAGGGGCAGCTTTGGGGAATGTTGAAAGGAGGGAAGCAGCGACAGGTTATCTTCTGAGATTGCCTTGCAGCTCCAAATGCTACAAAATGTGTTTCATTTAATTTTTAGTCACCCTCCGGTTCTTCAAGAAACATTGAACAAATGCTGGCCGATTCTATCAGTCGTATGAAGGCATATGGATTTCACCAGGTAAAAAGACCAGCATTCTGTCTCCAGGGGCTACATGCATCGCCGTTTCCACTACTGTTTCACAAATTAGTTAATTAGTCTCACGCAGAAATGAAATGCAGCAGCAGAGCGTGAAATCCATCTTAAAAACTGCAAACACACCCATTTGTCTGGAGTTGGGGAAGTCTTGAATGTCACGGAAAGAACAGACGCCAAGACGTATCTGCAAAGCTCCTCCCGGAAGATCTGGCACAGAGGCCATATCTGGGGCTGCTGCAGACACCGAGGGGGGACTGATTTCAGAGAGCGATAGATGCGGCGTTAGACCTGGCAGAAAGCGTGAATTCAGATTACATTGCTGCTGCGCTCACTGTTGCCGTGACCCTGTCCCTCTACAATGGGCAGCCTCTCGTGCCCCCACGTCCACTGGACTCCTCCCCTGTCTCTGTCCAGATGCGACATTCTCCCTACAGGCCAAGCCCACTTCTTCCATCACGCTAGCTTGCTGTGATATCCTAAGTTGCTCAAAATAAAGGCGGCATAGACTGGTACTTGGAAGCTGCAGTAGCATTTGAGCCACAGGATGTCTGAAAGAGCAGGGTAAGACGTGAACCTGGGAAGAGAAAGTTCTAAATGGCCTGCGACTGGGCTGCGGGGGAGGCCGGCCCAGAGGCCTGCGTTCCCGTGGAGGGTGTGATCAGTCCCTGACTCCTCCGTAGGCACATGCATGCACTGAGTCGCTCGCGTTTCTGAGACTTCAAGAAATCACAATGAAGTAGCACTGTGGTCCCCATATGCGTAGTACTGCCATGACACACACCTTTTCCTAAAACAGCAACATTTAGAGGATCTAGAGGCAACTCTCAGTAACACTGCTCAGATGACATTACAGCATCTTAAATGGTGACAGTTGAGAAAGATAAAAGATCCATATATTCATGCAACCCACACGTATGGCGTGTGCTCTGTGTGTCAGGCACTGTTATAGGAGTTGGAGACACATTTTATGGAAAAATCAGACGAAATCCCTGCCCTCGGGAAGCTTCTATTCTGGATGGAGAGACAGAGGATGAATCTATCCATGAAGTCAGGTGATCAAATGTGCCGTGGAGGAAAATAAGGCAGGATGAGGGGCTCAGGAGGAGGGGGATGGGTGTTGTAGAGAGGTGGTCAGAGCAGGCCACTCCCAGCAGGCAATATTGGAGCAAAGAACTGGAGGAGTGAGGGAGGGAGAGATGCAGACGTCTGGAGGATGGGTGTTGCTGGCAGAGGGAACAGCAGATACAAGGGCACAGAGGCCAGCGCTCACTTAGCATGGTTAAAGAATAGCGAATAATTCCAGAGGATGAGTGAGCAGGTCACTTGCCAAGCTTCTCTGCAGAGTCAAGGTGATAAAGGAGGCATTTGTGAGTGTCTGCGGGGAAACGGGTGGGAAGTCATTGTTTCCATCCCAGGCTGGGACAAGAGCGCATCTATATGGGCCCAACTTTGCCTCATTTTCTGGTCCTGTGAGCTGAGCTCATGTTGACAGCTCGCACTGCCTGCCTGGGTCTCCAGCCCTTGAACCCTGGGCATCTGGACCAGAGTCCAGCCTAGGCCCTCTGCACCTTCACTCCAGAGCCTTCCCCTGGTTTCCCCCTGCTTGACTCACAGTCTCAAGTCTTTTGCTAAAAGTAAATTTTCTGGGGGACTTCTTAGAGAGACTTTGGACAAGTTCCTTAAGTTTTCCAGCTGCCCTGAATAAATACAGCAGTCAGGGCCAGCACGCATCTGCTATTACTCTGTGAAACTCATTAATTCTAAGTTTCCAGTGTGTTCATACATAATTACGCTGCAGATTAAAAGGAGTACGTTTGCAAAATACAGCACTCTCAGGCATTTGAGTCTCATCAAGCAAGTACCACGTCTATTATTATTTACTTAATATTTTTCCTTAAGTAGACTCGCTTTTTTAAACATCTTGTTCATCCTAAGCAACAGTATCCATGATAATCACAGCTTGATGTTTTAAGTATATGTTTTCTAATTATTTAAAAATAAACACACATGCATCTGGGAGACAGCCAAGGTTCCACTTTTATTTTCTCTTTAAGGCTAGAAATTGCTAGCAGCACTTTTATGTCAGGCTTGTAAACAGCTTCAGTAAAGGGATGGCAAATTCTAACAGTCATTTCAAACACCGAAAGCTATTCTTTGGTTTTTATGGTATCGGCACACAAAGCGAGCTGAGCTCCAGGCAGGAGAATAACGTAAAGAAAAAAAATGAAAATGGCAAATGCACTAAAGTTTAGTTACTTCTAAGGTGAAGTACAATTTATGAATTACCACTGCATAAACTGTGAGTTATGACTTCCCACGATAATCAGAAACAAGTTTCACAACATCAAGGTTCGTATTTTAGTCATGGGGAAATGATTTCGCAACAGGGAAGTTTTTATCTTTCTAGAGGAAAACACAAATGAAAAGACCTGTCACTTGTGAGAGAGCAGGAAGCATAGTCTGTCTGTCTTGGGCCTTTCAGCTTGTTTTATTACTTAGCTAACCAAAGCTTTATAGTTCACCAAGTTGTAAATTCACTTTTCTTGTGAGCACTCAGAAGGCTGTAGCCCAATAAACAAAATACTTTTCAGATCTAAGTGATTTGGTTTGTTCATTTTCTCTTTAGTTTAAAACACGTTTTCTTGAATGTTCTGAATGGCATAAAACAGTACCCTTAGAAATGGTTAAGATGGTAAATTTTGTTGTGTCTATTTAACATAATTAAAAAAAAATTCTCCTTTTAAAGGAATACATATTTTATATTTTCCCTTCTCAAAGAATGCTTTTTAAAAATATTTTTTCTGTTTTTTTTTTTTAAACAAAAATCTTCCTTTTTGAACCACCTCAAACCACGTGTAAGTACCGCATCTTTGGGACACATGGTTTGAGGGCATGTAGAGGTCTGGCTGGGACTGCTTTGGGAACGTGCATTATTCTGGGCAACCCGTCAGGTCCTGCAAAGCTCGGTCCCCAACCTTTTTGGCACCAGGGACCGTTTTCATGGAAGACATTTTTTCCACGGACTGGGGAGGGGGAGGATGGTTTAAGGATGATTCAAACACATTACATTTATTGTGCACTTTATTTCTAATTATTACATTGCAATATAAAATGAAATAATTATACAGCTCACCATAGGTTGGAGACCCTTGCTGTAAAATAGTGTTTATACTGTTCTCGTGCAGTAGATCACTACTTAAGGGGGAGAGTAGATTCGAAGCAGCGAAGTGCTATGTGTGCGAAAAAGGAATATTTGTTGCGTTCTCAATACACCGTGCTAGGTACTTTTATTTAAAAGTTATTTAACCCTCACTGTAACCCTGTGAAATATTTGTTCTCATTTTATTTATGGGGAAATAGCCCAGGTGAGGTTCAGTGATCGGCCCTGGAGCTACACCTACAGCAGGGCAGGCAGTGGAGCCGGCGACAGCCATTCCGACCCCCAAGTCCACGCTCCGTCCACACACGGCGTTGCCTCCCCAGTGTTCCAGGGAGAATAATGGGAATCGGATGTGCTCAGGAGAATCCTTTCCTTGTAGAAAACTGCCAGATTTACTCACCAGTGTTTGTTTCTGTTTTTTTTTTTTTTTAACAGAAGAAAGAATCCCCGAAGAAAAAACAAGATGAAGAAATGAATCAAATAGATGAAGAGAGAACCAAGCAGATTTACAAGAGCTGGAAAGAAGATTCCGAGTGGCAGGCATCTCGTGAGTACCCGGGCACCTCGGTAGAACTCGGAGTCTCCCCTCTGATTCTTTCACTTAATAAAACGATCACCCCAAGAAGCACTTAAAGTGGGTTGTTGAGAGGCATCTTAACAATAAATCATTACTCACATGTTATTACTCAATTAATACTCAGATGCTTACGAGCTGCATTTGAATAGCAGAATTCAATTCATTTTTGTACCCTCAAGATTATGATGTATTTATATAATAGAATGGTATGTACCTATGAAAAACGTATTTTAGAAGAGCGTTTAATGATCTTGGAATATGTTTATGTCTCATTAGCTTGGAGAAGAAAAATCATTATAAAATAGTATGAAAAATATCACTGTTTAAAAATGTCTAAGTCCATGAAGGAAAAGAATTGGAAGGTTAACCGTAAACACTAGTTTTCTTGGAGAGGTGGGATTCAAGTTTACTTATTTGAATTTTTCTTCTTGTTCTGTTTGGGTTTTTCCCCCCTAAATTGTCAACAGTGAACACATTTTTAACTTTGTAATCAGAAGAACACGGGTAAACAGGCTGGATGTATTATCCATGCCTGTGACCCGGCCCTGACTCCCTTTGGAGTGAGCCCTGCCAGAGAGAAACCTCAGAGGAGAAGAGTAAGCCGTGCAAATGACAGTGGAGAGAGGATGCTCCAGATGCTGGAAGAATTCAGGTTTGAGAAGGGACTAAGGTTTCCATCTGACTTGAACAAAGAAGACTGAACTACCAGATCGTCCCTGAGGCGGCTCGAGGAAGGGAACAAGAGGGGCGATGTTGGCAGGATGTTGAGAATCCTAAATTAGCTTGCAGTTCATTACAGCAAATGCCACTGAAATGACAACTTTTGTGAAATGGAAATATTTGCAAGATCCAAGGGCCTCGTCGTGCTATGCAAAGAAATCCTAGTATAATGGAATATTTTTGGTATCGCCGTGAAGTCAAACGTAACAGGATTTGACCAATAATGCCTGAAGTGTAAACATACTCAGTGGAAATTATCCTTATGTTCCGCATTAGAGTCTTTAACGTTGTGTTGCTAAAACAGAAACGCCCTCTATTTTACAAAATAGTCATGTACTGTATAATTTTTAATATTTTTATAAATTTTAAGATTTTAATAAGTTTATGAATTTAGTGTAGCCCAAGTATACGGTCTATAATAGTATAACAGGAATGTTCTAGGCCTTCACGTTCGCTCACCACTCACTCACCCAGAGCAACTTCCAGTCTTGCAAACTCCATTGACGGTAAGTGCCCTAGACAGGTGTACCATTTTTTGTCTTTTATACCATATTTTACTGTTCTGTACCCTTTCTGTGTTTAGGTACACAAATACTTGTCACTGTGTTAGAACTGCACACAGTATGCAGCATGGCAGCATGCTGTACGGGTTTGCAGCCTAGGTGTAGAGCAGGTATGGTTTGTGTGAGTACACTCTGTGATGTTCGCACAAGGACAAAATCGCCTGGTGACTCCTTTCTCGGAACTTATCCCATCATTAAGCGACATGTGGCTGTAATATGAAAAGGCAGCCTCGGAGTACTTTTACACGTGACAGCGTGTTCTGCAATCATCTGTGCTAAACATCCCTTTGTTGTTTTGTCTGTGGGGCTGACTCATGTTTGGTCCAGCTGCCTGCTCTTCACCCTGTCCACACCCCCGTGCCACTGAGTCGCCCTGACTGCCCGGTCTTTGCTGGTGGCTCAGGCACGCTGCGTCTGAACGTGAGTGTGAGAGGATGCGATCGTTGCCCTTTGTTACTCAACACCTCTGACAACTTGAACCCTCACTCAAGTTGGGACTTATCTCTTAGTCTTGCTGACTGCAGGAAGTTCTTGTACACCTTCTCCACCTTTGTCTCATCCCTTCCTCCTCCTCTTCCTCCTCCTCCCCTCTCAGAAAATCCCCAAACTCCCTGATGAAGAGAGGAGCCCTGCAGTGAACGCTGTCTGCACAATAGGTGTTGACGGTGCTTGTTCGTGGCCGTGAGCAGATGACAAGCTGCCGGGAGCCTGCTCTGCTGTCCCTTGTGCAGTGCGGAACCTTCTCACCTCTCTGTGGGCTGACGAGGGCCATTCTCATAAACCCCATTGTTTTTCTAGTGCGAAAATCCAAAGCAGCTGATGAGAAGAGACGCTCCTTGGCTAAGCAAGCGCGGGAAGACTACAGGAGGTTGTCCCTGGGGGCCCAAAGAGGACGAGGCGGTGACAGGCTGCAAAGCCCCCCGAGTGTTCCACAGAAACCAAAAAGACCTCCGCTTCCACCCAAGCCTCAGTTCCTAAACCCAGCGGGATACCCTCAAAAACCTCTCAGGTAAGAAGCCATGCAGGTGGCTTTAGGCAGCATATTGAAATGGTGGATTAAAGACGAATTGTGTGACCTGCCATGGGGAGTGGAGGACCCGCCGGCTGCCTGTGTAGCTCTGTCTTACCTGTGAGCCTTCTTCCTGGGGTACCCGGTCGGGCATTCTTCCCCTCCCAGCTGCAGAGTGTCCACGGGTGTTACAGTGAGTGTACCCGATACCATGGTGACGATGCCCATCAAGCTAGGTGACTTCCTGTGCCCCAGCCCCACCCGGTGGCCGCAGACAAGCCAGAGAGGGGATAAGCGGGGACAGCCAGGGTTCCGCCGATGCCCACGGTCACTCTTAGTAGTAAAAGAATATCAAGGTGGGGACCTCAGGGCTTGCCGACTGTCACGTGATCAGTAGGACTGCGTTTTCACTGCTGAGGGTCGAAAGTTTGTCAGTAATTCTCATTCTGGGACATATAGCCAAGTTCATCTTTTGAGAATTTGGAAATGCTCCTTTTCTGAATGAACTCTTTCTTTGGTGATGAAGGTGCCTTTGCCTCCTAGGCTGTGAAGGAGGTAGAAAGAACAATTTGTTTTGGAACGTCCCTGAAGAAAAGTACAATGGTTCTATAGCAGAAAACCCATATCCCTTATGTTTACTGATTATGAAATTGTTTCCTGGTTATTGGTACTATATTATTCTTAATATTCTAGTATTTAGAAGTATTTAAATTCAAATATTGGTTGAAAGAAACAGAACTGTGTAAAGCCTTGCCTCTGAATGCTTCTCTGTTAAGAGTACGGAGAAATGAAAAACAAATAAAAAATCTCCCTTTGCTTGGAGTGAGTAGTTATCATCAAGGTTTTTTTATTTTATTTTATTTTTAATGAGTATGATGACCTCAGAAGAAACACTGAGGTGAACCTTCTTCTCTACTGTAATTATTTGTACTTAACCGGAAGGTTCCATTTTGGGACGTGGGGCCCAACACTAAATGACCATGTTATGCAAAGTGACAGTTTGGGAAATGATTTATTTCTTATGGACAAGAAAACAAATACAATCAGGAAATGGGTGTTCCCTTCATTCTATGAGCAGGTCAGGGAGGTGTGTGGCCTCCTGCACACGGCCCTCTGGGTGCTGGAACTTGTCTGCACACGCTGGCCACAGAGCCTCCGGGGCAGTATGTGTGGCTCACGCCTGCTATCTGTCTCTTCCAAGGGTAGCGTGGGAAAACAACTTGCAGGATGTCCCTTTCTCATGGCATTTTTAGAGCATAGTGTATTTGATGGACAGCAATGAAGGTGGCCTTTCAAAAAGGGCAGTTCTTGTTTTAAGCTGTGCTCCATTAGCTCACTTTTTCCAAATTAAGACGCTGCATGAAGTGCTGTTTGTGAGTCAGACTGGGTGGGTTTAGAGCTGGGACTTCCAACTGTAATGGCAGAGGTCAGCGTGGAGCCTGCCCAGGAAAGAGGCTGGCCTCTCTAGTGTCTTTGGAGTTTGGCTTGATCTCCAAGGACTTTAGCCAAAAAGAACCTAATTTGGAAGCTAGTATGAGAATTTATCATATAACCTCATGTGTATGCAGTGTCTGCTTCCCAGGAAGGTCAAATGTTACCGGACATTTTCTCCAAAAGACTCTGAAAATCATGAGGAATAATACATACATGTATATATGCATGTCTGATATATGTCATACATAGTTCATGGTAACATATGTTACCATAAATAGCATAAAGAGCCAGAAGTTAATTTACAGGAAGTTCCAGTGGTTCATCCAAACTCTTTATTGTTGTTTTTTTTTTAATAAGTTTTGTTTTTAATTGATCCATAATAATTGTATATATTTATGGGATATAGTATGATTTGATACATATAATACATTGTGTAATGATCAAATCAGTATAATTAGCATATCCATCACCTTAAACACTTGTCATTTCTTTGTGGTGAGAACATTTAAAATCACATCTTGTGGCTATTTAGAAGTGTGCAATGCATTATCGTTGACTACAGTCACCTTGGTATGCAATAGAACCCCAGAACTTATTTCTCCTTTCTAACTGTCACTTCGTACCCATTGACCTACCTCTCCCTGTCCCTCCCTCCCCGCTTGTTCTCCCCAGCCTCTGGTAACCACTGTTCTACTCTCTGCTTCTTTTACATTCCATATATGAATGACATCATGCAGCATTTGTCCTAATGTGCTTGGTTTATTTCACTTAACATAATGTCCTCCAGGTTCATCCATGTGGTCACAAATGACGGGATTTTTATTCTTTTTATGGCTGAATACCATTTCATTGTGTATATATACCACATTTTTAAATCCATTCATCCATTAATGGACACTTAGGTGGATTCCATATATTGGCTATTGGGAATAGTGCTGCCATAAACATGGACGTGCAGCTATCTCTTCAACATAACTGATTTTGTTTTCTTTGGATATATAGTCAGTGGCAGGATTGTTGGATCATATGTTCCATTTTAAAGTTCTTGAGGAAGCTCATACTGTTGTTCATAAAAGCAGTACTAACTTATATTCCCACCAGCAGTATGTAAGAGTTCTCCTTTCTCCACATCCTTGTCAGCATTTTTTTTTTTTTTATTTTTGATAATAGCCATTCTAACTGGGGTGAGGTGATACCTCATTTTGCTTTTGATTTGCATTTCCCTGATGATTAGTGATGCCAAGCATTTTTTCAGATACCTGTTGGCTAATTGTATGTTGTCTTTGAGAAATGTCTATTGGGTCTTTTGCCTAGTTTTTATTTGGATTATTTGGTTTTTTGGTATTGAGTTATTTGAGTTCCTACGTATTCTAGATATTAACCCCTTGTCAGATGTATAGTTTGTGAATATTAATGTTTTTCTCCCATTCTGTAAGTTGTCTCTTCCTTCTGTTGTTTGTTCCCTTTGCTGTGCAGAAGCTTTTTAGCTTGATATAATTCCGTTTGACCATTTTTGTTTCTGTTGCCTGTAAAATCGAGGTCTTATTTTAAAGATCTTGCTCAGATCAGTGTCATGAAGCATCTCTCTCATGTTTTCCTCTAGTAGCTTCATAGTTTTGGGTCTTACATTCAAGTCTTTAATCCACTTTGAGTCGATTTTTGTATATGGTAAGAGGTAGGAGTCCAGTTTCATTCTTCTATATGTGGGTATCCAGTTTTGCCAGCACCATTTATTGAAGAGACACTTCTTTCCCCAGTGTATGTTCTTGGTGAAAATCTGTTGGTTGTAAACATGTGGATTATATCTCTTTTTATGCCAGTATCATGCTGTTTCAGTTACTATTGCTTTGTAGTATATTTTAAAGTCAGTGGATGCCCCCAGCTTTGTTCTTTTTGATCAAGATTGCTTTGGCTATTTGTTGTCTTTTGTGGTTCTGTGCGAATTTTAGGACTTTTTTTCTTTTTTATATTTCTGTGAAAACTGTCACTGGTATTTTAATGGGGATTGCATTAAATCTGTAGATTGCTTTGGGTAGTATGGCCATTTTAACATTAATTCTTCCAATTCATGAACACAGGATATCTTTGGATTTATTCATGTCCTCTTCAGTTTCTTTCATCAATGTTTTATAGTTTTCAGAAGCATGTTTAATTTCCATGTATGTGTGCATTTTCCAATGTTCCTCCTGTTATTTCTTGATTTCAATTTTTTAAAATTTGTTAAGATTCGTTTTATGGCTTAACACATACATGATCTATCCTGAAAAATAGCATCCACGTGCTGTTGAGAAGAAGTTGTATTCTGCAGCTGTTCGATAAAATGTTCTGTAGAGGTCTAGGGTATGGTTCTGTCTGGATGATCTGTCCATTGTTGAAAGCAGGATGTCGAAGTTTTCTACTAGTATTGTATTACAGTCTGTCTATCCCTTTAAGTCTATTAATAATATTTGCTTTCTAAATTTAGGTGCTCCTATGTTGGATGCATATATATTTATAATTGTTATATCTTCTTGTTGTATTGACCCCTTTATCATTATATACTGGTCTTCTTTGTGTCTTTTTACAGTTTTTGGCTTAAGGTCTATTTTATCTGATATAAATATAGCGACTCCTGCTCTTTTCTGGTTTCTGTTTGTATGGAACATCTTTTTCCATCCCTTCACTTCCAGTTTGTATGTGTCTTTACTGATGATGTGAGCCTCTTGTAGGCAGCATATATTTGGGTCTTGCTTTTTTTTTCTTTTAATCCATTCAGCTACTTTATGTCTTTTAATTGGAGAATGTATTCCATTTACATTCTCCAATTAATTCAAGATAATTATTTATAGGTAAGGGTTTATTGTTGATATTTTGATACTTGTTTTCTAGTTTTATAGATCCTTTATGCCTTTCTTCTTCTGTTACAGTCTTCCTTTGTGGTTAAGTGGTTTTCTCTAATAGTATGTTTTGGTTACTTTTTATTTTTAGTGTATCTATTATAGGTTTTTGCTTTGTGGTTACCATGAGGCTAACAAAAAGCATCCTATAGTTATAACAAGTCATAGACTGATACCAACTTAACTTTTATCACAAAGAAAAAAAGAACTATGCAAAATAATAAATATATACTTTAACTGTAGTCTTCCCACACATTTTGAATTTTTGATGTCATAATTTACATTTTTTTATATGGCCTATCTCTTAAATTATAATTATTAGTTTAATAGCTTTGTCTTTCAATCTTCATACTAAAGATTTAAGTGGTTTACATACCATGATTACAATATAAGAACAATCACATTAGCTTCCTTTTCTTTGAGTTTGAAGACTTCTTTTGGCATTTCTTATAGTACACATCTGGTAGCAATGAATTCATTCAGATTTTGTTTGTGTGGGAAAATCTTTCCTTTATTTCTCAAGGAATGTTTTGCTGAGTGCAGTATTCTTGGTTGAGAGTTATTTTTCTTCAGAACTCTGAATATAGTGTCCCACTCCCTCTTGGACTGTAAGGTTTCTGCTGAGAAGTCTGCTGCCAGGTATATTTTATCTCCCTTATATGTTATTTTCTTTTTTTCTTTCACTGCTTTCATGATCCTCTTTTTGTCTTTGACCTTTGAGGTCAGTATGTCTTGGGGTATTCTTATTTGGGTTGAATCTGATTGGTGACCATTGAACTTCCTGTACCTGGATATTTGTTTCTTATTTCAGGTTTGGAAGATTTTCTGTTATTATTTCTTTGAATAAGCTTTCTACAACTCTTTGTTTTTCTCAGTTCCCTTTTAATAACTTGAATATTTGCTTTTTTGATGTTGTCCCAGACATCCTGTAAGCTTTCTTCATATCTTTTCATTCTTTTTTCTTTTCTTTCCTTTGTGTATTTGCAAATAGACTGTCTTTGAATTCCCTGATTCTTCTGTTTGATCAAATCTGCTGTTGATGCTCTTTATTGCATTTTTTATTTCACCCAATTTTTCAGCACCAGGATTTCTGGTTTTTTTAAAATTCTTTCAATGTTTGTTAAATTTCCCTGAATTTCTGAATTGATTCTTAGTTGTTTTAAGGAAGCTCAACAAACTTAAAGAAAACACAATTTTGAATTCTTTGAGAGATCACACATCTCCATCATTTTAGGGTTGATCTCTAGCACCTTATTTTTTATGTTTGGTAAGGTCATATTTCACCAAATGTCCTTGATGCTTGTGGATGTGCACTGATGCCTGCTTATTGAGGGATTAGGTATCTATTCCAGTTTTCACAATTTGGCTTGCTTTGTGTCTGTCCTTCAGAGGGCCTTCCAGACATTCCAAGCAGACTGACTGTTGTGTCTCCTGAGCCTGTGACCACTGCAGCTGCCTCATCACTAGAGGATGCTCTAGGTCTAGCCTTGCTGCAAGTCTTTTTGAGGGCTCCAGGGTTTACATGGTGGCGACTCAAGGAGGGTACTGGGGCTGTTTGGGAAACCTGGCAAAGGATGCAAGTACAGAAGTGGTGTAGATAGAGGGTCTCATCACTAGAGGGTGCTCTAGGTCCAGGCTTGCTGCAAGTCTTTTGAGGGCTCCAGAGTTTACATGGTGGAGACCCAAGGAGGGTACTGGGGCTGTTTGGGAAACCTGGCAAAGGATGCGAGTACAGAAGTGGTGTGGATAGGTGTGTCTCCCAACAGGTCCCTGTACAGATGGGATAGGTCCTTGACTGCAACAAGATGGGCTGGAGTTGAGACTGGAAGCCCCTCAGGATCTGTTTTATGATGGAGGCTGGAAAGTCCGTCTTGTTGGCTCAGACAGGTGCACGTCTCCCAGCAGGTCTCTGCACAGACAGGATACTTTCCTGACTGCAGTGGTGGTGGTGTTGTGTTTAAATTGAATCCTGCTCAAAGTCAGAAGGCTGTTGAATGGGACTTGGAAATACGTTTATTACATTGCAGTGTTACTTTCTGTAGTGGAAATTGACTTATATCCCAGAACTTAAGCTCGGCTACTGAATTTATTTCAAAAGGATTCTGCTGCCTATATCTGTTTCATACCAGTCTTCAAACACTCTTCTTCCTTTTACTTCGTATTTCTGAGATTGTTTCTTAGCAATCTTCAAAATGTGGGAAGAAGAAAGCAAATCAGGGAGGTTAATGGAAATAGAAATAGAAGAGAAAAATCAAACAATGAAAATGTTAGGCAAGAAATGATTTATATTTGATTTCTTTTGTTTGCAAGTACATGCTCTCTAGGAAAATAGTGTTGGAGTAAAAGTGTATTTTAATTTTAAATGTTTATTTTATCAAATTTTAATTGGGAGTTAATTGAGTTTCTAATGCATATTAAAATGAATTTAGATCCATGCATTAACATAGCAGTGGCTCATTCCCGTAACTAGCCCTTCAGGATGGAAAGGACAAGTGACAGATTGATGTTCCTTCCTCTCTGCCCTTGAGAAATATAATGGTGGTGTGCAGGGGCCCAGCTGCCATTAGCTCAGCCCATGTAATTACATCTTGAAACGTCTATAGTTCTATGTGTGTGTGTGTGTGTGTGTGTATAAACACACATATATATGTATGTTTTTGAGCACATTATTTTCAAATGAGTGAAATCTAACTTGCAAAACTTTTATAAACAACAGAAACGAGGGCGTGACGAGGACGGCATCCAGCTCCGCCCAGGAGGACATCATCCGCTGGTTTAAAGAGGAGCAACTACAGTTTCGAGCAGGCTACGAGAAAACCTCAGACACCATCGCTCCCTGGTTCCATGGTGAGTGCAGAGATCCCTTCGGTATAACCTTGTCCAAGGGTGGATGAAACTGTGCTAATGCACCAGGGAGGCAGAAAGAATCAAAGCTTCCTTTTACTTGTGCTGCCCCCAAAACAGTCTTTAAATTATCTTCACAAAGCAGTCTTTCAAAGGTTTCTAATGCATTCTCATGACTGTTGAGAAAGCAGCATTCGTGGCCACTGTATGCACTGTGGGTTACCTTATCGCCACAAATAACATGTCTCGGAGAAAAGCAGTACTTCCTACCGACGTGCCACTAGGGCACTTTGTTGTGACTTCTGTCAAATGGCAATGTCTTCCTTCCACCCAGGAGTTGCCAGTGATGGTGGCCAGTTGTGTTGGGCAGGACACTGGGTTAACAGACTTCAGACTCAGCTCTCCTGTAACTAGTTGAGTGACCTTGAGCAAATCATTTTCTTTTTTTGTAGCAAATCAATTTGTATGTGAGCTTCATTTTCCTCATCTGCTAAATGAAGGAGTTGAGCTGTTGGAGCTTTTATGTTAGAAATTCTGTGGTTTTGATCCTTTGTTTCTGGTATGGAGTTAAGGCTGCAAGGTGGGTTTGTTGGATCTCGAGTAGATATTAGCTAATGAATCATTTCTGTATTCAACCCAAGAAACTGGGTTAATTCAAGCCTTTCTTTTATTCAACTCACACTTCACTGACCTCTGTTTCTTGGATGTCGAGCAAAGTTAGTGTTTTCTTGCCCCAAATGGCTTCCATAAGGTCTGTGGTTGAATTGGACTAATTGGCTGTGTGTATAACAGAAGGTGTTTTAGTTCTCTCCCGGAGCATGTTTGTGCTAAGAGTGTCTGGTCTGAATAATGTTTAAGGCCTCTCCCTTCTAAGTAGTATCATCTCACACATAAATAGACCACAAAAAGTAAGCTCCTAAACACAGAGCATAGCAAACTCTTCTAAAAGTAACACAATTTCTTGTGATAGACTTTTTCCTAAAGGGCTGCTAGTGTAGTCAGAATGTTATCACAGAACTGGCAACTAGCATGGTATGTACTTTCTCTAAGATTTTGACTACTCTAAATACTTCATATAAGTGGAATTATATAGTATTTTTTTTTGACTGGCTTATTTCACTTAGCATAATATCCTCAAGTTTCATTCATGTTGGAATATATATGAGAATTTCCTTCCTTTTCCAGGCTGAATAATAATCTACTGCATGCCTTTGCATTTTGCTTATCTGTCAATGGACACAGGTTTTTTCCATGTTTCACGCATTGCGAATAGTGCTGCTGTGAACATACATGTACAAGTATCTCTTTAAAGCCGTGCTTTCCATTCTTTTTGAGTATTTAGCCAGAGGTGAAATTTTTGGATTATGTGGTAATTCTATGGTTTAATTTTTTGAGTCACTGGCCGTACTGTTTTTCATAGTGGCTGCACCATTTTACCTTCCGACCAGTGGTGCACAAGAATTCCAATTTCTTTACACCTTGGCCAACATTTGTTATTTTCTGTTTTTTTTTTTTTTTTTTGAGAGTAGCCATCCTAATGGGTATGAGGTGGTATTTCATTGCAGATTCAATTTGCATTTCTCTAACGATTAGTGATGTTGAGTCACCTTTTCACGTGCTCGTTGGCCATTTCTTTGGAGAAACGTCTATTCAAGTTCTTTGTCTATTTTCAAATTTTTTTTTTTTTTGGTTGAGGGCCAAAGAATAATTGCAATTGGAGTTTGAAGTTCTTTCCAGAAACCCACACATTCATTTCTTCATTCTATCAACATTTTCCTACCCCTACTAAAAATACAGCAATATGTAGGAGCATAGAAATTGGCAAGGACTGGAGTAGGAAGGTGGACTAAAAAAAAAGAAATGCATAAAAAAATTTCTAATTTAGGAATTCTCTATAATTATTTCTGTGGTTAGAGAATTCACATATTTACTGTATGCATCGGTAGTTGATTATTATTTCTCAGAATGTAATTAAGACTTATTCAAATATGGATATAATTGGACTGTTCATGATTTATTTCCATCTTTATTTGTTTCTTGTGGATATCTTTTGCTGTCATGGCATGTAATTGAATCTGCCCTCTAAATGCTTTAATCCTAATATTTTAAGTTACTTAAAAAGCAAATCCCTTTAACTTTGGTGGGATACCAACATACTATAGTTCACACTTCAGTTGTTTTGATGTCTTCTATTTTTTACACATCCTGCTGTCTCATTCTCTTTGGGGGGTAAATCCCATCCATATCTGTGGGAGAACTTATTCTCTGGAACCTAAGTCCCCCAGAGGCAATTGTTGAGGTGGAGCCCTGTGTCCCTCCCTACCTCCCCTCCTGGAAGTTCGTCACCCCACAGTTCCTTCAGGGCGACCAGGTGCCGCCTCAGACTGAGTAGATATGACCGAATGGATCACATGAAGAAAGGCACATGGAAGCTTCCCGAAGTTTCTCTCAGGCTAAAATCTTAGTGAACCTGTGACGTGATGCCCATAAGTGAAAATCTGTCCTTTGACTATTTTGCTGAGGAGAGGAGAGATTTCTTTATTGTGGGGCCATCAAAATTCTGCCCATCTGTCACAAAGGGATTTTCAAGCTTTTGTCTTCGGCAAGCACAAATCGCTGATTTATGTGACTTCTCAAAGCCTTTTTGTTCCCAAGCCTCAGACGACATACACATCCTGCCTCAGTTACATGTGCGATTCATATATTTTGGGGAGAAGATAGGCTATGTCCAGCAGCAAGAATCTGTAACTGCTTGTGTGTGGCAGACAAGAACAGCTGGAAGTCCATTCCCTGGCAGTCACTGCCCTGACCTTGCGACAGACCAGCAGGGCTCCTTTTAGCACAGCACTTTCTGTCTGAATTATTCTCTGTAGTCCTGCTGTGTAACTGCCTGGTACTTGTTCAGATTTTGAAGTCACGGGAGAAGATGAAACATAAAGCAGTCAAAGCTACACACATGTATTTGGGAAGAGCTAGCTTTTCTGCAGAAAATTCTATGCGTTGGTCTTTTTTACTCAGTGCAGCAAACTTCTACAGAAAGGTTACTATGTTTTTCCATTAACGTGGAGAATAGTCCATTAGCCCCAAAGATCTTTCTTGTGTTTTTTTGCAAGAGATGCACTTGAGTGCTCACTGCCTGTGCCCGGGAGCCCCAACCTTCCCATTCCAAATGCCCAGGACTCCTGTCTTGTAAGTTCCCATGTGCTCTTGGAGTCCTGAGTTACCCAGAGGAGCCTCAGAGCCCAGGGCAGGGCAAGTGGGTGTGTGAGAGGTGAAGGAGCATGACTCTGCTTTGGGGGTTCTACTCAGAATTTTGTACAGAAAGAGGATCCTACTGTTTAAGAAGTATCTTAAAAACCATGCTTGTGTTGTCAGACATTTCTTTGGCATCACGCGCTTTCTTGACAATTTCTCTCACGTGGCCAGAGGATGATGGACAACATTTCTCAGTGCCAGGGAAACAGAAGGCAGTACAGCAAATAAGAACATCTCTCTGGGGCCACACTGCCTGGCCATAAATCTGAGTCTTCCACCAACTAGTGGTGTGGCCTCGGGCAAGTCCCCTGACTCTGTATGTCCCTCATCTGTGCAATGCAGATAATGATGTTCCTGCCTCAAAGTGTTGTTCTGAGGATTAAATGAGTTACTATACGTAAAGCAGTCAGAACTGTGTGTGGCACGTCGCAAGCCCTAGTCAGTAAGCGTTAGCCATTAAGGTCACCAAGTGAGAACAAATGATGCTAATAATTCCAATCCTTATATTGCTGAGAAAGTACTCGAGATCCTCTGTCTCCAGCAATATGAATCCTAAGCTTGAGCTTGGAAAAGTCACTGATTTATCGTCCTGTCCCTACATCCAGGCAGACTGCACGTAAATAATCACTGAAAAGTGCATCTTCTTTAAGTTGCCCAGGTGAGAAACAGACACCTCTTTGTAAAATAAATACTCGTTTTATTTTTAGCCCATTCCAAGAAAATTTTATGAGCCCAGAGTGTCAGAAAAACAAAAACCCTAGAGTGGGACCCAAGACACTTGGAATCATCACTCACTAATCCTGTAACCTTAGGCACTTACCTATCCTACCTTTGTTTTCTAAGAAGTGGAGATGATAATAACATCAGCTCTGCTTGCTTCAGAGTTTGCGGATTAAGTGAAAGGTAGAAAGCAACTGGTGACCTGCAAGAGTAGTTGTTCTGCATGAGGGGATGAGAACGTGGACTCCAGGGTCAGACTGCCTGGGTCCAACCCCAGCACTTGTGCTGGCCAGCCTGAGCGACCTGAAACAGGTGATGCAGCTCTCTGTGGCACAAATTTTCTCATCTGTTATGTGAGGGTAGTAAGCTACAGCTTTGTAGGGTTGTTGTGAGGATTGAAGGAGGTAATATACACTTTATTATTTGGCTATCTTCATTTGATTTGTAAACACATATTTCCCAGATGCAGGAAGTGGGCCGTGCGGACGGACATATACAAATAAAATGAGGCCTGGAGGTGCTTCAGAGAAACACAAACTACATCCCTTGTCCCTGTGATAGCAGTGCGCAGATTACAGGTGGTGGCTGCATAGGGGTGTCCTAGCGAGAGAAGTTTCTGACTTGATTGTAAGACACAAGCATTCATGAGACATTTTCTGGGCATCTTGTAAGAGGCAGGTGCTGGGGGTGTAAAAGTAAATAAGATGTGGTGGTTGCCCTCTAGGAGGTCTCGGGGACATGGGGGAGAGTGAGACACTCATGGCAGAAGTGCTGTGAGTGCTCCCAGGGGGGTGAGAACTGGTGAGTGCCAAGGTGGAGGTGGGAACAGGTGAGAGACTCAAGTGAGCACTCAGATGGAGGTAGGAGCCAGGTGAGACCTTGGGCCAGGTGAGCACTCAGACGTGGGGACTGGGGGCTCAGCAGGCCTAGAGGAAACTGAGCCTGGCTGCTTAGGAAGGAATCGGAATGCTTCATGCTCTGGAGTGGAATCTTGCAGAATGAGTAGTTCTCCAGGAGGAAGCTGTGGAGAAGGGTGTCCCATTGATCTGCCGTCCTCCTGTGGTCGGAAGGTTGGAAATCCCGGCTGCTTGGATTTCCAACCTGGGCTCTGCTATGGTTTCTGAGTCACATCAGGTCCCCTGAGGTCTGTTTACCTGGTGTTGTGCAAAAAACAGTTCTCCTGGGTCTTTCCTGGGCAGAATTTTCACTACAGAGAGGTTTAGAGCTGCATGTCCAGTATGGTAGTCACCAACCACATGTGATTTCAACTGGAAATTCATTAAAATTAAAAGTATAGTCTCTCAGCTGTACTAGCTCCATTTCAGGTGCTCAGTGTGGCTACCAGAGGGCCAGCACAGACACCACTGTCATCATCACAGAAAGTTCTATGGGGAGCCTTGGCATCATGCCGAGAGAGGAGCAGGACCGTTCTCTCTGCTTGCCCTCAGCAGACCTCCCTGCTGGGGGTGCAGGCTGGCAGGAGTTTCAGCTGCAGCTCGGCCCCAGGCTCTTCAGGGCCAGGCACTATCCCTGAGACCTTGCACAGGGACATCTGCTTTCTTCCGGGTTGCTGGAGTTCTGCCACCCCTTGTCTGGATTCAGCTCTAAAATAGACAGACCATTGTCCGGGTGAAAATCTGGTTTGCTAAACTGATGACATAAAAGCAGTGTCTTTATTTGTGCCTTTCCACTAGCACAGAAATCTTCCTATGACCTCAGATAGGTTTGATTCTTCTAATGTGCGTGAAGAGAGCTGGTTGGACGGGGGCAGCACCAAAGTGTCAAGGCCTTTAGGGGCTGGAATGAAGCCCCTGCTTCAGAATTCCTCGAGTCACACCAGGGGCAAATCAGGGATCCATAAATACTGTAGGGAGATGCCCCTAATCTGTGGTGATCAGTGTCTGACATAGATTTTGGCTTTGTGCTCAAGAATGCCCTACCCAGGCAGAGAAAGCTCACTCACTGCTTGGCAGTGATCCCAGCCAGGACACCCTGCATGCACCACTGCCCTTGACGGGTTCATGACAAATTGCACAGCGACCTGTATCTTTAGCTGTACCAATAAAGCGTGCTCTTAAGGGATAGCGATCCTCTTGTAAAGCAAGAAGAACGAAGAAAGAAACCACCCTCTTGCATTATTCAAAGCCCAGTCTCCAGGGCACTTGTCTTTTGAACCTCATGAAATCATTTTTGTGTTGTGGCATCTCAGGAGAGTAGCTAGTGCCCGGATCTGTGCGTAATAGGTAATAATTACAGAGGTTAAGAGGCTTTGGGGCACTTTGATTTACAGTTAGTATACAAGTTAGTATTAGCTCAGGTTTGTTTATAATTTTCCAGAGTAGCTTTCATTTTAGGAATCCAAAGGCATCTGGATAACATCCAGATGTTATAACATCTGCCTGTCTGTAACTTGGAATTTCAGAGCTAGCTTGTCAGGAAGTCTGGGAGGAGACCAAAATCCTTTCCAGAATACTATTACTCCTGCAAGCATGGTTTACCAGCCCTTTGGTTTTTTTTTTTTTTTAAATTTCAAAATATTAAGGGGGTACCAATGTTTTTGTTATGTGGATAGCTCTTAAGTCATGACTGTAAGTGTGCCCATCACCCGGAGAGTGTTCATTGTACCTATTAGGTAGGTTTTTAGCCATCCCCCTTCTTGATATCCAGTGACTTTTACTTCTCTTTGTGCCCACGTGTGCCCATTGGTTAGTTCCAAATTATCAGAGAGTGCATGTGGTGTTTGTTTTTCCATTCTTGAGATACTTCGTTTCGGATAATGGTCTCCAGTTCCAAACACATTGCTGCAGAAGACATTAATTCATTTCTTTTTAAGGCTGAGTAGTACTCCATGGTATATATTAATATATGCTAGATTCTTTTAATCCACTCATGAATTGATGGGCACTTGGGTTGATTCCATATCTTTGCAATTGTGCTGCAATAAACGTTTGAGCGTAGGTGTCTTTTTGATAAAATAACTTCTTTGGGCAGATACCCAGTAGTGTGATTACTGGATCAAATGACAGGTCTACTTTTAGTTCTTTGAGGAATCTCCATACTGTTTTTCAGAGAGGTACTAATAGCAGTCCCACCAACAGTGTATAAGCATTCCTTTCTCTCTGCATCCACACCAGCATCTGTTGTTTTTGGACTTTTTAATAAAAAGCCATGCTAACTGGGGTAAGGTGACATCTCATTATGGTTTTAATTTTGCATTTAATTTGCATGATTAGTGACAGTGAGCATTTTTTCATCTTTTGAAAAGCTTCTGTTCATGTCTTTTGCCCACTTTTTAATGGGATTGTTTTGAGTTCTTTGGATATTAGTAGCCCTTTATTGGTTATGTAGTGTATTTGCTGTGCAGCAGCCTTTAAATTTAATCAAGGCCCATTTATTTTTGTTGTAATTATCTTTGGGGGTCTAAATTCTTTGTGTAGGCCCATATCCAGAAGAGTTTTTTTTCTACATTTTCTTCTAGAATTTTTATGGTTTCATGCCTTGAATTAATTTTTATAAGTGGTGAGAGACAGGGGGTCCTGTTTCATTCTTCAGCATGTGGCTATCCAATTTCCCCAGTGTATGTTGTTGTCTGCTTCGTCGAAAATCAGTTGGTTGTTGGTTTTATATCTGAGTTCTCTTCTGTTCCATTGGTCTATGTCTCTATTTTTGCACCAATACCATGGTGTTTTGGTTACTATAGCCTTGTAATATAGTTTGAAGTCTGGCAATATAATGCCTCAAGATTGCTTTGGCTATTTGGGCTCTTTTTTGGTTCCAAACGAAGTGTAGAATTACTTTTTCTAGATCTGTGAAATATGTTGGGAATTGCACTGAATTTGTAAGTCACTGTGGGTAGTATGGACATTTTAACAATGTTCTCATCCCTGAGCATATGTTTTTCCATTTGTGTCATCTCTGATTTCTTTCATCCATGTTTTGGTGTTAGTGAAGAACATCCCTGGATTCATAGACACTCTAATGCAGTGTCTTCAGACCTTCAGCACATATAGTCCCTACATGTGCTGGTTGCCTTGTGTAATTAATTTATCAGTGGGACCAGCTATGTTTAGGAGGGTGGAATTTATACTGCCTTCACTTGAGTGGTTGGTCCAGCATCTGACCCCAGAGGCTCCCTCAGTATCAGTGCTGCTGACGGCACAGCCAATGGGTCAGTTTCATAGGGGAAAGGGCAGAAAGAGTGCTAGACATGCTGTATGTGACATACCTGCATCAGTAACCTCACTGGGACTCAGTGTAATAGAGCTGCATTCCCTGGAGAGAGCTGCCAAGCCCCCAGCTGGGCTGATCCTCCTCCATGGAAGAAGAGGGAGTGGATGGTTGAGCTTGGCTGGGGGAAGAATAGGCAATTCTCTAAATCTTCCCTTTTTAAAGGTCTATTCACAGAAAAAAACAGAAGTGGTTCTATTTTATGTTTTATTCTGGATAATTACAGTAGCAGACCTGGGTCCAACCTGGTTCTCCTGTTAATGAACCTCCTCCAGCACTGTTGACATTTTGGGTGGGATAATTCCTTGGAGGGGGGGGAGGCTATCCTATGTGTAAGAGGATGTTTAACAGCATCCTTGGCCTCTATTGCCCAGAACACCACTGAGAGTGTCTCAGATAGTGTCGTGGTTAAGAACTTCTATTCTAACCCGCAGGCCATTGCATCCTCAGGAGTGCATCTGTAAGTCTCTTCCAGACCTAACACTCCCTATGTGACAAGCAGGCCTCCTGTGAGGCCCTCACAAATCCTATTAACACTGATATTGGCATCAATGGAGGTAGAAGTGGAAATGTGTCTGCTTAAGGTTAAACCTTGAAGCTGTCACTCACACTGTCTATGTAACCTACCCTTGTCCAAGTACCAGAGGAATATTTTACTACATTCCTAAGGAGCCCAAAATACACTTCAAATTGCTTTGATTTGGATTTAACAGGAGATGAAATGCCCATCTTCTTCTTCCCACAGGCATTCTCCCCCTCAAGAAAGCAAATGAACTGCTTCTGAGCACAGGCAGGCCGGGCAGTTTTCTGATTCGTGTCAGTGAGAGGATCAAAGGCTATGCCCTCTCCTATCTGTCAGACGAAGGCTGCAAACACTTCCTCATAGACGCCTCCGCCGACTCCTACAGCTTCCTGGGTGTGGACCAGCTGCAGCATGCCACCCTGGCCGACCTGGTGGAGTATCACAAGGTGAGACTTGATAACAGGCTCAGTGCATTAGTGTCCTGTAGCAGGTGCAACAAGGGAAGGAGGGATTAGTCTTTGATAATTCTTCCCGATAATCAGGATTCTTAATTGCATTTCTGCTATCATAGAGCCTAGTTCTTCTTCACATACTCAGGGGGACCCCACAGAGCAGAGATCCCAGGAAATGCTGAAAAACTACACATTACTGATCACATCTGAGAACAGTCTTAAGTTAGAGCTTGAGCCTTGGAGGTTTGTGGAAAAGAAAAATCTCTTTATGACCATCTTAAGTTAAGGGTGGGCAGGGCATGTTGTTATTACTCTGACCCTGTACCCTCTGTATGGCAGGAGGAACCCATCACCTCCCTGGGGAAGGAGCTCCTTCTCTACCCCTGTGGACAGCAGGACCAGCTGCCTGACTACCTGGAGCTCTTCGAGTGACCACCTCTGTCTGGGTCATCCTGCGACCTCCAGCTGGGCTTTCCCCTGGATGGCCACCACTGAAACAGACATTTGTGTGTGAAGCCAAAGCCACCCTGCAGCAGACTCAATACTACAACCCAGTGGAATTATCCATGGAGAGTCCTCCTGAAATCTGCACAAATGCTGGAGTTTAACACCTAGGAGAAAAGGGCCTATTAGAAGCACTCCACAACTAAAGAGAAGAGTCCCAGTTTCAGCACAACCTAACATAACGGGTATGACTGTGTGAGGTATATGAGATAAGATGAACAAAGATGACATTGAAACCTTTTAGAAATTAAGGAGCAGTATCTCGTATGGACTATTGTGTGACCCCTACACTCTCTTGTGTCATCTCCAGCAGTCTCAGGGTCCTGTTTCCATGAAGTTCCCTGCTGGCAGTAAAATATTCACTGGGCAAGATGATCAAAACACATGTCACTTATTGTGCACCTTGGGACCAAGATGTGAGAGCCCCAGTGTGTATAAAATACATACGGACTGTAGGAAAGCAACCATGTATGAGTGTGTTTCCTCCCTCTGGAGGGTGGGGACAGGGCTCCCTGACTGCTCCAAAAAGGATGAAGCATGTGCTCACGTAAGGTGTTACCAGCACTGCATCCACAGGAGAGGTGGGCTGTTTGGATGCTACTTACTGTGGGTTGAATTGTGTTCTTCAGAAAGATGCATTGACCTGTGAATGGCCTTACCTGGAAATAGAGACACAGAGAAGGTGGCCACGGGACAATGGAGTGACACGGCTGCAAGGTAGAGAATAGCAGGGACTGCCTGGAACAGACTCTCCCCAGAGCCTCAAAAGGCCCCATGGTCCTACTGACATCTTGATTTCAGACTTCCAGGCTCTAGAACTGGGAGAATAAATTTGTTGTTACTGAAGCCCCAGAAAGCTAATACAGTGTAATTACGGAACACAGTGTACACGATACACCCACATTCATTGCTACACAGTCCACCACTATCACTAAGAAGTAAAAAGAGGAGGTTGAGAAAACCTTCCAGCTAGTCTGGCCCTGGGACAGAGATGTGTCCAGTCCCTCCCTACTCTTATATGCACCCCCCAACCTCCAGTGACTCTTAGAGCAGCCTCTGGCCAGGGACCAAGGCAGCTCTCAGCCACTCAAGATCTTTTTTTTTTTTTTTTTTAGGAAGGATGGAGATCTGCTTGTACCTCAGGCCTAACTCTTGGGTCAGCATCTTTTTACACTGTCATTAAATGAAAGCAGAATAATAGCAACAATGGTCATGAGGTTGGTGGCTAGGTAAAGCACTCAGGGACTGTAATGAGAAAGCTTTTAAACTTGTATCACTGTTTCTTATAACGTTCCACATGGTTTTATATTGTTAATTATAAAAAACCCATCTGTTAGCTTTTGTTTCTGTGATTCAACAGTCACGGCATTACTCAGAAACTTCTATTCTCCTCTCTTTCCCCCATTGTCTGTGTAATCTTGGACAGGATCCCTTACCTCTCTGAGCCTCCATTTTTGCTTTTGGAAAAGTGTTTTAATCATTTTCATCCAGCTTCAAAATTTCAAGGTTCAGTTGCTCACTAGAATGAATAGAAAGTACCCAGTAGTCACTGATAATTATGAAAATATAAGATTCCAGTATCACCCTCTGCCTAAAATCATATTGAAGGAAATAAGCATGATTACATCCAGCCATAACTACACTAAGCAACAGCCTGCTGGAGGAGTTAGGGGAAGACACAGTAATAGAAAACAAGAAATGACCCAACTGAATTAACCTAATATTACAAGGGGGAACAGATTTGAGTTCTGCACTATTTTATCCTATTGGTTATTGATATTTAGAGGAATCGGCTGTCTGGTCTTTGATGCTATGAGGGTCGGGATTAATACTTGAAATTCACAGGGAAGGAGACTAGGTCACAGAATTCAGAACTTGCTTTCAAGTAAGTGGGGTTGAGCAGCCCCGAATTCTCATCCTGCCTCCACTGCGGTGTCAGTCTTGCCTGTGCCTGACCTGAGTTATGGTCCAAGGTGAAGATGTCCCAACCTTGACCCCTCCCTTCTGTCACCGCCACAAACCCAGCTCCCCGATCCACCTGCCCAAGGTTTCTGGGTCTGAGGTGTTACCCTCATGTTCCTATCAAGGTTCCCAGGGGCTCTAACTCTTTGGGACTGTGCCCAGATGTCACTCCCTTGCCATGTTTAGTTTCTCCCTCAACAAGATCTGCAATCTCCCTCTTATAGTCAAAGATTTTCTGGCTGTCACCTCTGTAGTGCCACACCCTTACAGACCTATCAAACTCCCATCGTGTTACTTGGAAGGCCCCTGGTTCTTGTCTCCTGCCCTGCCGCAGTAGGATGCACCAGGAAGTGAGTTTGTCCCTCAGTGTCAAGAAGTGTGAGTTGGTTCAACCCTTACCCTAAGAGAGGGGAAAACCCAGAGTCGGTTAAGAAGAAAAAGAATCAAGAGAAAGAAAAACTGAAGGTGGACGTTGAACGGGTCACCAAAAATCACCTGTCCTAGCTGATGCTTTGTAATTAACCATCCTTTTGGTATAACAGCACGTGTGCTAACATGGCATGAAATATGTTTTCAGATTAAAATGAAAACTCATGGATGAAATTTTTGCAATTGCCACCTTTTGTAAAGGAGCTTTCCTCATGCACCAGAGTCCATACGTGCTTTACAGCCCTCACACGTACACACTCTGGGGCTCCTGCCATTGGTGCACAGAGAAGACACATTTGTAGAATATTCATGGATATATCTCTATGCGGCCTCTGTGCTTTCATTCTTGTCAAACACATAGTAAATGTTTTTATTTCAGTCTGCAATGCACAGGGCTTTTCTCAGAACGTAAATTTTCTGCCATTTTATCTTTAAATAATAATTGAGCTTTTCTCTTCCTCAGGAATAGCTACAAATCTCACTTTGATTTCTCTTCTTTGCCTTCCATTTTGTAATCTCATCCTGTTTTCCTTTCTCCATTCTTTGCTGTTGTATTTTAAGAGATCTTCTCCATCTCTGTCCTTTCCACATCGACGATGACATTTTCTGCAATGTTTATTCTGCACTTTACTACCCCCAGTATGGGTTTTGGTACCATTGTTACATTTCCAGGTTACTTGCCATCCTTCCTTCTCTCCCCACACGTCTTTAGACTTTCTACTGCTGCCCCAGACTGAAAACTATCAGGAGGCTTAAATGAGAAAAGTGCCCTTGTTTTAATAGGTGCTGAAAACATCATTAGACAATGAGGTAGCTTGATACAATAGAGAACTCAGCCGGTTTGGGTCCTGGCTACACCATTAACTGTTAATAGCTGAGTGGAATCAAAGAAAAAATTAATTGCTAAGCCTGTCTGAGCGTTAGCTTGTTCATTTCTAAGACAGGAGTTACTAACGTCCTCTGGGTTCTGAGGATTAGAAATCTATTAAGTGCCTGGCATAGAGAAAGTACCCCATAAATGGTAATTAAAAGGATTCCTAGAGAATCAGGGGTTTAACAAAGCCACGATCTGTGCACTCCAGGCTTCCTTTATCAACTCAGTTCATGTGTATCCAAGGGGTTGCATATCCGAATGGCCCATGTCCTAGACTTTCTAGGGTGAATTTTAAAGGGGAAAGGGAAACTTTTCAAGAGTAAGGATTATAATGATGAATGATGCAGTATGGTAGCCAGTTGACCTGCAGAGAAACAGCTCGTTCAGTTTGGATTTGAACTGGCACAGAGAGGGGGGCATTTGCTCGTGTCCGATTTTCACAACTCCCAAGCTGGCAGGAAACAGCTTTTATCCTCAAATTGGCCATTGGCAAACTGGCTCGTTTTCCCTGGAATTTCTGATCACAAATCTTCACCTATTTGCCCCCCTTTTGACCAGAAGACTTACTGCAAACCCAGCTCCCTCTGGGATTAGCACCACCTGTCTCCCAAACAAGTCAGGCAGAGGCAATGTTGAGACAAACTGCCAGAGAGGGGCAAGCCCCCCAGGCTTGTCAGTCTGAATCAGCTTTTGCTTCCCCTCAATTGGAAAGATATCCCTCAAGGACATCTTCCCACCAATGGAGTCAAGATTGCAGTAACCATACAGAATGGCAAACGCCTTACCTTTGGGGGTGCTCTCCCGGCGGCATGGCAGGGCTCTAGAGAAGCTTCCCACCCGCGCCACTCCCCGCTGTTCCTGGCAGCCCCACACGCTATGGGCGTGACGTTCACATGGCTCTGTTTGAGGCTAATAACTGGAAAAAAGATGAAGCAGTTATACTTTTCCTTTAGCCTTTCTTTCAGCTTTTTTTTTTTTTTTTATTTCTTACTCATTTTTAGCCTTTTCATGTGGGATTTAATATCCTAGCAGGCCAGGTGATGTTTATTGTTGGCGTTTTTTAAGCCCTT